GTTTGATGAACCAGAAGAAGGTTATAATAGGGGGAGTTTTGTTAGTTACAGTAATTCGACGTGGGAAAATGAGCTTGGTTAATATATTGAGACATCTTCAAACGCGGAACGCTGCCGGCATTACAAAAGACTTCTATGTTTACAATCTAGACATTGCCGCTAAAATAAAATAGCAAATCAACAGCAGATAATTAGAGAGTTTAAACATTGCAAATAAATTTACATACCAATTTGAGAGATGAAAGTTGGATAGATGATTTATTTAGGAGCGAAACATTTACGCTGTTATTATTATTTCCGTGTAATGAATTAATCATTTAAAAAATATTCAAATTAAACAACTTTTATAGACCATATCCCTACTACTATAAACGGATATGGTTTATACAAGTTGTTCGAGATATCTGCATTATAAAACCTTTGATTTGATAAAAATACTTCGGGCTTTCTCGATAGCGCAGCCATTTGTCGTACACAATCCGCTTTTTATTGCACACTGCGATCAGCAAATAGCTCGCTGTTGTTATGCACAATAAAAGATTCAAAATGTCAACTTCGATTGTCGAGCAGCTAATATACTACTCATTTACTGTTCTTTTCCGTCATTCAAATTATCTTCAAATACGGAATAATCGCAATACGGATAACACCGTCTTACATGTAGTTAAAGATTACGATAGTCAAGTTCCTTACAACTGGTAGTATAATGTCGGAAATTTTTCCCGTTTTGTTTTCAATCTAACTGACTACTATTCGCATAAAATAATTCCCAGCACAATAAAAGCAGCACACTGTTCTTATTCTTATTTCTTACATCATTATCTAGATTATTTCTGATAATATATCACCTCCTGTGATAATGACCGATAATTATAGTTAACAATAGTAAGATTTAGTCAAACAGAGGGTCATGTATCGAACTCCAGGGAAAATGCAATAAAATGACCTCTTTGAAATCTTTACATTACTCAAAATAAAACCAATTTAACTTAAATTAATAAAAAGAAACACTGAGACATGTTGATATTACGCGCATTTTGTGAATAAAACCTTCAAAATTGATGAAAATTATTGAAAACGTTGATAAGACATCACTGGAGATATAAAACATAATTTTGAGAGTTCATCGTAGCAAGGAAATGTATTTTTCTGCATGGAAAAGGTTCCGATATGCTAATTCATCCAATCAGAAAAATAGTTTCATTTGTTCATTATCCAAATCCAACAGGGATGGTTGGGTGGATATGATGTTTCTTTCTACAGAACAGCCATTTGAAAGCATAAGTTGCGGCATCCCGAAAATCCTTTTGCCGATACATGAATAACAGTACCATATTGAAGGAATTCAAGAGAGACAAATATGTGCAATACATTACAACGATCTCTGATTGTATACTGGGATTCATCATGTAAATACATTGCACTATTGATGGTACCACCACAAGAACTGCAAAAAAAGAAAGTACAAGTTGGAAATTATGACTGAGAAAAGCAATAAGTACAATAAATGTCACTATAAAAAAGATTCAGTTAGATCTCTTTCAAATTTTGCTGATCGTTCTGACATTAAACAAGCCGACATATGTCGAAGTAAAAGTTATATCCAACTAAAATTCCTGCTTAAAGTTCAAAATTTAAAACATCTCGGATTCATTAGCACTGAAAGTGTGACAATGCCGGTTTAATTACTACAACTCCTTGTAGTAATGCATTATTTAACCATTTAGCAAAAACACACAAAATGTAAAACAACAGGAGATCAATGCTGTATGGGTGTATCGCTTTTGGTTCTCGAGAAAGCATGCCAAATCGCGGTTATGTGAAGTATTTGAAAGGAACTGAGCACCGAACTTCCTGGAAAAAATATAAATATGGTTAAAATTCAATATATATATTTAAGCTTGACTTCGTCGACACACTCTTAATTTTTTTCCAGCACAGTTCACCAACTACCTTCAAATCGGACCGACATAAAACTTAAGCAAAACAGGAGAGCATCGTGATACAATCATAAGTTGTATCGTATCGATCAATGGATGATATGAATAAGGATGCACGACTGCATATTGAAAGTTATAATTATTTTTAAATCTATACCTTTTCAACATGGCGACAACAATAACCATCAGAATAATACTAAATAATGAAGCAATGGAGCTCAATAACGTTAAAGTGAGATAAAAATAAGGGTTATAAACGTCCTTCAGTCTGCAATATTTATTATGCATTAGATTAGCAGGAATACGACAAAATCGAAAAATTGAAAGTAGAATCATTTGTATGATGCAGTAATATGGTCATTGTAACTTACAAACAGAAATGAGATACATATCGAATCGGTTCAATTAAACTCTCCATAGCGGTAAAAGTTATCGCAATTATAGTAATTGCGTATTGTGTGACAATTAATGAGTAAGCTATTCGTTTACTGTGAGTATAATAAAACAACGGGAATGCTACAACAGTGAGCCTTTCCGCGCTGTTCATTAGCAAACCCCATCCATCCAGAAAAAACATTGATAGAAGAAAGATTGGCACCTAAAATTTGACTACTCGTTGAACTCGTAGTACCATATCAACAGCAATTTTGTCTATAGATTTACGGTTACAATCTTAAAATACAGAAGTAGATGTACTTGAAAATTTCTACTTTTTAGTATTTTATTTTAAAATTCCTTATTGTATCAAAAAATGTCAAGATAAGCGAATAATTCCAGCACGATATCAAAAAATAAACGGACATTGAGCACGCAGTCGTAATGAGCAATGTATAGTTCTTCAGCAGCAGAAATAATCCATCGTTTCATTCCCATTAGTATTGCACTTATTCCGGTTAATCCACCGTTCAGAAAGATAATTGCAAGAACCAGATAGCGTTCTCTGAAATACCTAAATTTGTCAGAATATTATCTGTGCATTGCAAAACATTAAAATATAATGTCAGAAATAATCTTTATGAGATGAATCGGTTGACCTGAATGCTTTACGTATCATCACAAGCAGAAAGATCGGAGTGTTAACCAACACCAGCATTGGGCCAATAATCAAGTAACCGTATATATACAAATCATGGTTCACAACCACCAGCGTTAACGTTCCATTATCCATATCGTTCCTCAAATCATCAATTGCTGTTTTGCTTACAATAACATTCATTAAAATCAGTGAAAAAAGTGTGGCAGAATTAAAATAAGTATCAGTGTTATAGGGCTTCCGATGGTGACATACAAGACAAATGATGCCCCAAGTGATAAGTAGGTAATGTAACAGTGATATTTTCCTTAAAAATTCATTAACTGACAAAATTGTCACAAAATTCTTTTGACGTTGGAAACGTTTTTGATATGACAATAGTATGCATTAGAATGTGAAAGATTTTGCTACCAAAATTCTGATTTCATTGAAGAACATTGAAAATAATTGTGTATATTTTGAGATAGAAAGAGAAATGAAGAAAAGACTATTGATCTGAATCACAAATATCCAAATTGCGAACTGATTCGAAGCAAGGTTGTGGTTGAAAATATTTGTGAAAATTTTAGAAATCCGTTAATAGCTATTTTCAAATGATACTTCGCAACAAGCTACATTAATTTTATCCGGTGAACTAGCAAGTATTAATGCTATTTAAATGGTGATAAGTTGTTAATAAATTTATTATTCTCTAAATGTCGTATGGTGAAGTAATTGGATAACTATAAACAAGCGCTATGTCAGATACAAAAACCTTTGCAGTTGATGATTTTTCTATCACAATATGCTTGGTTAATTTGATTATTCTTTGCAACAAAATTTTATAAGCTATCAATCACTGGAATTCTTTCTTATTTTGATCTACGGTGAAAACTAATGGAACTTTATGTGCATATTAATGCTCATGCTTCATGAAATTTACCTTTGGAAATTTGAAATCATTCGAATTGATTGATGAATTCATATTTTAATTGATCGCGATATCTCCTTTCTCAGGAAAAATATCAATGTTATCTGTTTACTTTCACTTAGGGCATCATTTGTTTTGCATATCAATAGCGGAAATCTTGCAACACTGAAGAGATAGACTCTGCTACTTATTTTAATTCTGCTATATTTTTTCATGTATTTCAATGAATGTTACTGTAAACCGAACAACAATTGATGATTTGAAAAACGTGACAATAGCTTCATCATCAGTTGCAAACCATGATGCACATCTTTACGCTTATTTAATTATTGGCCCAATGCTGGTATTGATCAACACTCCGATCTTTCTACTTGTGATGATACGTAAAGCACTCAGGTCAACTTTTCATAAACTTCTGGTATGTTAACAATACACAGATAACACATGGATAACTTCCGGTATTTCAGGAAGCCCTACTTGGTTCTCGCAGTTGTATTTCTGAACAATGGATTGACCGGAATAAGTGCAGTATTGATGGGAATACACCGATGGATTGTTTCTGCCACTGAAGAACAATATGTTGCTCATCACAACTGCGTACTCAATGTCCGTTTATTTTTCGAAATCATACTAAAATTATTCGCTTATCTTAACATTTTTTGATATAATAAAAATTTCAAATTAAAATACTAAAAACTAGAAATTTTTACCTATATTTAATACCGTATTTTAAGATTGCTACCGTAAATCGATAAACAAAATTAGTGCTTGTGTGATACTACGAATTCAACGAGTGGTAAAGTTTTAGGTGCCAATCTTTCTTCTGACAATGTTTTTTCTGAATGGATGGAGCTTGCTAATGAACAGTGTGGATAGGCTTTGTGTTGTAGCATCCCCATTGTATTATTATACTCACAGTAAACGAATAGCTTACTCATTAATTGTCGCACAATACGCAATTACTATATTT